TATCACCAAACCTGTCATTTATTACTTTTAATATTCAGTAATGGCAGTGAGACCAAATCAGGAAAGTGTGACAGTGATTAGTGGAATTTTGTGTCAAAAGGTATTAGATCTTTTTCAACATTAAGCCCCAAATTGTAGACTAAGGTAGCTTTTACTGATTCCTACAGGGAAAATAACTTTATGCTGACCTTAAGATTAGGTGTAGTGGGCAGCCACCAGCTATAAGATTACTCATTCTCTCAGGGAAACCTCCAAGAAGTTATGATGAGGTATATCCCAGACATTTGAGGACTGTTGTGATGAAACGTTTCTGAAAACACTGAATCAACTTTCTGGGATTTTCTTACCAGAGCACAGATCAGGATGATACATTTTACACATTCGTCCCAATGTTTCTTCAACCCTATATTTTTAGTTTTAGCAACAGCCTGTTAAATGCACAGCTGCACTCCGAACATTACACAACAGGAATAAAAACAACTTTTAGTTGAGTCGCGGTCTCCTATTAAGAAGGCAGATTTGGAAGATAAAAATTCTGATATATATTTACTGATAACAGTCTGTCTGAGGTTCTGTACAGTTAGTTTGCATTATTGGTAATGCTCTTCGCCACATTGCAGACTTTATTCAATCACCAAACCACATAAACAGTTGCTTTAAGGCACATTTGATTGTACGGTTAAGTGCCAGCAGAAACAGGCTTCTACAGAAGAGCAGGCTCTGCCTCCCATTACTACGTCTACCTGGGAACCACAAGTAAGCCAGCAGTCTTACAGCAAAGTACTCTAAAGAGGAGATACAGTACAATGAGTTCTTGAAGATGAGATGGGTCCTTTTAGGGACATCATAAACTTTTACTTCTTTTGATAAACTTTTGATGGATGGATGTACTGCAGTCACACAAATCCTAACCGTGGAGGAAAGGAGTTCCATTAGATCACAGCAGGTTAATACGAGAAAATAAGATGTATTGTGTGCACACTGCTGAGAAAGAGAATCTGAGTTGTGTTTTTTTTTTTTGTAGTTTTACATGAAAATCCCAGAGTTATTGAAGAGCAATATGCGGGGCTCGCCTATAAGCTTGAGTGCAAAGTTTTACTGAGACACGGTTTTGGCACAGCTTTGC